CTGCACTGTACGGCATACACCACATTGTTAAGTCTGTGTTTTGGCATCAGTGCCAGACTTTAGTAATAAAACGAGGCCCAACACAGTGCAAAAAAAAAGCCGCTTGTGGCAGACTCTAAAAGCAAGTCAATTTCTCGTGATGAACTTAAAAACCAAAATAAGCATTTTATCAGCCAAGTATAAAACATTGTTTCAGTTTCTTTGGGTAATTTTCTCTTCAAGGCAACGGCACAGGGTATAAAACCTTATTAGGCTTAAAGCTCAAAGTTATGCATTAGTAGGGCCACGCGTGCTTTGAGTGACAGGTCAACTAATTCAAGAGAATTCGAAGTATTTTTAATATGACTAATAACATGTCTTGGTTAACTTTACTAACAGATCATCCAAGACGTCTGTGGACCACTTTTAGTGACTGAAATTTTTGCATTTTGTTTCTATTTTTATGTATTCATATGTTAACAAGAATTAGCAAATATCTAATCACAGGACACTTTGCTCGTTAGATATTGTTACCTGATAACTAACTAAGGCTGCACAGCCTGTCTTTAAAATTTGGTCACTTGCAGCTCAAAAAAGGCCAAGAATTCAAAAATGACTTGAGGCTAAAAAAGAAAGAGTCCATACACCAATTGGTGATGTTACGATGTCCATCTTTTATATACAGGATATTATTAAATAGCCAAAAGTATCATTTCCATATCATTTAAGTGCAACGTCATGTGATAAAAATAACTTTTTGTTTATTCAGGGACATGCAGTTGCTCATGAAGTCCATAAAGTATGTGAGACCCTTTTTTGCATGAGTCTCGATTTAAAATGAAGTCAGCTGGAAGCATTATATAGTCAGCTGGACGCAGCCAGCTCACACAGCTTAACTTAATTACCTGCCTAGCTACAGGGGACAAAATCTGCCCACAGAAAATGGGTGGTCGCAGAGCTGATAAATCTGCCCACGTCTACCCGCATACATATCTTGAAATTAAGAACCTATTGTGTCATCAATCACCAAGAATTTCAAGTTTGCCCCCGTTGCTGCCGTTAAACAGCAAGAAATTAAATGTTAACAATCATATAACAATCAGCTGGCTTAAAAATGACTCTTTGTCTGCGCTAGTGAAAAATGTACTAGTATGTTGCTTTTTTACTGCTTACATAAGTTCAGATAGATTTCTCTTTGATTTGTTATACTCTAGACCACTTATCAACACATTCCTGCCTCACAAGGCCCTCAGCAAGCTCTCTCACTGTGGTATTTCCAGGGAATACACCGCTCCCTAATGTCTCCTGTTTCCACTCTTATCACTTTGCTGCTGATGAGCGTTTAGCATTCGCCGTGTCCCTCTGAAGCAGCTGCTTTTGGCACAGTAACTGGGTCGGACATGATAAAATTGGAAGCAGTGCAAGGCGCTCCTGATAACAGCAGCCTCTGTGCTTGAGAGTGAGAACAATGCATCGAATAGGAGGTGGGAGGAACTCTAGCAAAGATGGCAATTCCTGTGTTTTGTTGGATTTAACTGTCAAAAAAAGAGACTATTTTTGTGACGATGAAACATTAAGAGAAGATTAGCCCTCCATGTTATTGTCTGTGTTTAAAAGCTGCTATTTAAGTGCTCGCTACCTGTGAACGGGCAGATTTAGATCTATGTTCGTCAGCAGGGGAAGGACAGGCGAGCAGAATGTTGGTTTCCTCCCTTCGAGTGTCCTTATGTTGATGCACGATTGCTTTTTCAGCGTGCTTTTATAGATTTGCGAGCCCAGCATGCACAGAGTTAAAATTATTGATTCGTACGAGTGTGTTTGTAGCGTGTGCTGTGGAAGTAAAGCACGCATACGAAGGTTGTGTCTGGCTGAGAAACGTCTGAAGAATACAGCATTTCAAAGGGACAGATTCGAATGACAAACTACGAGAAAAATTTGGGAAACTTTACGCAAGCAAAGAGAAAATTGGGGACAAGGCAGTGGTAAAGTTTTCACCCAGGGTTAGACTTTAAAATATCTAGATTCTGAAATTTTTAAAAAAGTATTACTCTCTCTCACCAGGGCTTTTGGAAGCCATCTTCTCGGACTCTTTTGGCGTTCTGAATAGCACAGGCTGACTTGGAGGGCTGCTTCCTCCCATGCTAATGCTCTGAACGTGGACGATGTACTCGGTGTCCTCATCCAGATCCCACAATGCACAGGAGCGTGTGGTGGTGTTCACTTCCTGGATGAACCTCAGCATGCGTACATCCTTCTTCTGCAGAAGCACAAAGATCAGAAAGGCAGAAGTGTACATTTTGTATTTGTTTTTTCCTCCCAATATGCCAGTACCCACTTGTGAATTCTTTGGCATGAAAAGGGTGACATTTCCATATATATATATATATATATATACACACACTTAAAATAATAGGCTTAGCAATACTTCCTTTCTTCTTGTTAGTGAATATTCCCAGGGTGCACGCTTTATCAAGTTCAGATTTCTAGTGGCAAAGTCCAATTTTCCTGGTTAGATCTGATGTGGTGCAAATGCAAACACGTCTCTCTTGGTTAATAGAAAGGAAAATGCTGAAATAAAGCCTTCTGGGTTTTTTTTTTTTTTTACAATGTAATTAAGCATAAAGAAAGAGAGAGAGAGAGACAGAGCCTCTCTGGCAGTGTACACTCTGCTAGAAATGTACATTATTATCCAGCTAGGGCTGCTTACTCAGGTCAATTGGCTCCTGCTAGATTAAAAGTAAGGCACCTTGGGGGCACTTTTGTTTACCAGGCAATTAAAGAAGCAGATTTCTTAAACCATTAAAACTTCATGTAGACAAGAGGTGCATTTGAAAAACTATATTTGAAAGTGTTTCTTAATGTGGCCTCAGAAACTAAACTAGAAACTGGCCTAGAGAACCCTCTAATATTAAACCAACTGGAAAATCTCATATACGGCACATTATTTAAGTCGCTTTGGCTTGACCACAGTTGCCGTGCATCTGCAAGCTTCTTTGCAACCCACCTTCACCCCAGCTTCTCCTCATATGTTGTATCTACATGTGCATTTGGGAAGGTTGGATTTGTATTTGGCAATACGGCCAAATACAAGTTTCTGATATTTTTTTTAAGCTATGATTTTCTGACTTTGGATTTCACATGCTTTTTTTTGGTGTTTATTTATGTTAAACCTGTAGTTTGAAGGTGCCATATTTCACACTATATGTGGAATTAGCCATTAGCCAATAGATGTACAGACAACTATCCCTGGACTTTTTTAACTGTGAAGAAAACCTCAAATGTGATGATCTTCTGGCAACTTTTCCCGTCGTAATACAAATACTTTTAAAAAATAATTTTAAACAGATTCATGGGTGTTTATTTGATATTGATACCTAAAGTAGGGATCCGAATATCCAATAATTGGACATTGGTGACAAACAGGGGTTAAAATGTCATTTGGCAGGTGGTGCAACCCTAAGTTCTGGTGTAACAGGACAAGTGGGGATATGACTCACTTAGTAATAAGTGACATAATCACTGGACTGTGATCTCTAGTAGATTTGTTTGGTGAACAGGGTGTGGTTAGCTGGCTGCTTGTTCTGAGGTTTGCTGCTCTTTATTGGTTCAGTTCTACAACATATAGCAGATGTCTGATGACTCCTTTTAGAATTAAGTCCTGTTATTTTGAAGCGTTATCTAAATGAACTTCATTTGTGGTCAAAAACTGCATGTCTAGACTATCCTATGTCTAGAACTGTCAAAAATAATTTAAGGTTTGGCAGACTTTGCCCACAAATAAGGTTTTTAAAGCTTTTTCCTTGTGGGGGTTATATTTTTACCACCATCTTTATTCTCTCTCACTCTCTTACATCTCTGCAGCTATCCTGGACTTAACCTCCTAAGACCCGAACTCTGCCACGGCATGCATTTTTAATTTCTCTTTGCTATTTGGGCTGATTGGGACCTGATGGTATGTAAAAACAAAGAATTATGTGATTTTTTTTAACCTGATTTTCGTTTCTGAGAAAAATGAGATCCACATATGAGGACATTCGCTTTACATTTTGATAGAACAGTGGCAGTATAATGTCCTCGTAAGTGGATATCAGGCCCTTGTGGAAAAAATTTTATTATTTTGGTCTAGACAACCCTAAAATGTGATGTCCACATATGTGAACACCAGGTCCTAGGAGGTTAAAGTAGCAGCAATATATGACCTCTGAATAACATTTAAATTATCATTTAATGTGTTGTCAAAGCCGTTTCACAATATGAAGTAACCTAATAACTTCAGCAACACATGTAGAGATCTGATGTGTGATTAAAATTTACATTTCCAGTTTATCAAATGTCACCTGCTGAGCAGTCGTTACCTACCACAGAAATGGTTTGTTTGTTTGCTGAACTGTTTGACACATTGCATTTAAATTTTTTAAAAGAAGTTACTCTGTTTTTTCTCGCTTCCCTTGAGTAGAGCTATATATTGCTGAAGCGCCACAGACTCAACTTTACTGATATCTGCAGCATGGATGCAGTGACAGTGACAGTGACAAAAAAGAGAAAAGTATGTGGGCAGGTGGAACCAAGTGGTGACTTAACTGTCCCCATGGCATCAGCTGCATGAAAAATGAACTTGTTTGACATTATTTTGTATTTAACTCCATACCAGAATGCGGTCCTGAATTGCTCCAGCCCAATTTAACCCAAGATGACAACGGTCTAATCTACTCAAATCTGTTCTGTATTGTTTACAGTAGCAACAATACACCATTTGGTAGCAGGAGAACAGTTTGCAGGGGTCATTCATGCCTACGATGCCTATAGTGTTTTGTTTTTCCTAAGCTGTAGTTTTTGAGTAAGCCAGAAACAGTTTTCAAATTGTTTGACAAAACTGAGGAGCTTCCTCAGTTGGTCAAACCTACATGGATCTGTGTGAAAAAGTGATTGCCCCCTGAACCTAATAGCTGGTTGGGCCACCCTTAGCAGCAACAACTGCAATCAAGCGTTTGTGACAACTGGCATTGAGTCTTTTACAGCTGTGGAGGAATTTTGGCTCATTCATCTTTGCAACCAATTGTTGTAATGCAGCCACAGTGGAGGGTTTTCTAGCATGAACTGCCTTTTTAGGGTCATGTCACAGCATCTCAATTGGATTCAGGTCAGGACGTTGACACTCCAAGGTATTCATTTTGTTTTTCTTAAGCTACCTGATCTTTAAGTGACGTATGAATCCTGCTTCCGGGTCCAAACTACTCTGCGTTTATTAAGGCTGTTGTGTTTTTAACATGTTTTAATGCTTTTGTATTTTGTTCTATTCAATCTGACCAAGCCCCTAAAAAAAGTCAGTGATCACTGTCGGCCTTACAATGTAACTAGAGCCCAGCCAATCCAGCAGTATATTAATGACTAACCTCGTATTGTGGATGGATTATCTCAGTTGTTCTCCTGACTGAAGTTTGGTCCGTTTATAGCATCCTAACCTAACCCTCGGGAACAGTGTTGCCAACTTAGCGACTTTGTGGCTATATTTAGCGAGTTTTCAGACCCCCTAGCGACTTTTTTTCTACAAAAAGTCGCTAAAAAAAAGACGTGAAAGCGCATATCGCTTTTACTCTCAACAAGCAGCGGGTGCTGTAACGCAGTCAGTTCTTCTTTTATTCTTTTACTCTTATGCTGTTTTGTGGATCACAAGGTTTAAAACTACTTATAAACACACACACACAAAGTAACTCCACCAGAGTGCCTATTTCGGGTCACTTTTGCGGTCCAAGCCCGGGTAAAGGAGCAGGGTTGGAATTGTGACATTAAAAAAACAATAATTGCTAAAATAAATTTAATTTGTAGTTCTACATAAATTCTAACTGCATTTAGGACGTTTTTTACTCACTTTATGTCTCTTCCACGATGTTATTTCTCTCTCCAACAACATAGATTACAATTACATTAGCATGACCAATTATGCAAATTAGGTGATGACGTCATTTAGCGACTTCTAGCGACTTTTAGGACAGCCAATAGCGATTTTCCTTACTGAGGAGTTGGCAACACTGCTCGGGAACCCTCACATTAACTTTTATCGAGTGGAAAAAAGTTAGCGTTCATCCTCCAGCTTCACTGTGCTAATGTGTTTATATTATGCTAACCACAGCTGTGCAGCTAGCCACCACATAGCACATCATTACATACCAGCTAGCACAACTTCATGTAACCCTACAAACGTCACTGCTGTTTAGTTTTCTGTCTTCATTTAAGTCGGAAGCGATAGCAGAGCTGTACTTTTTAATTTCTTCAGAACGCCCTCAGTCAGAGCGTGATGCATTATTTTTAGGTGGAAACTAGCGAGCTAGCTCCCTGCTAACTTCTAACTGCTAAATTTCATAAATTCTGTTTTCATGGATGTCTGGATGTTAAGCTTAATTGTTACACCTGGTAAAGCAGCCACAATGATCATTTTATTAAAGATAAAAGAATTTAGACAGTTTTTAACTTTCAGTGATGCCGCAGTGCTCATTTGACTTTGGGACCTGAATAGGAGTTTGGACCTGGAAACGGCTAATGACGTCAGACTTAAACCAGATTTAAAGGTAGAGGACTCCGAGGTTGTTGGTGTGTTTCAGATCATTGGCCTGCTGCAGGATCCAAGTGAAGCACTGGCATATTTAGCAGATACCCAAAGTCAAAGTATTAGTACCAAATCAGTACTCAGAATTCCAGGAGTACTGATATTCTAGGAATGGGGCTACACTATATAAAAGTCGTACTCCGTTTGATTAAGTCATCATTTTTGACTCGCTCTCCACACATAACATACTCACACAACACATTAGAGCCTGAACAACATATATACTATATAACAATATATCAGCATCGGCAATATGTAGGGCGTTATTAGGCATTTGCAAATATATATGTGTTGCATAGTTTGTCCACCAGAGGGCACTCTGTAACTCTGTCACGCAAACACAAACCAGCTGATGCAAGCATAGCTGGGCAGAATGTAAATGCCCAATCCATGGCTTGTGACAATGAAATGAGATTATTTTTAAACTGCATCGTCATATTATCTTATCAGGGGCTCATAAGCAACTACACATAACAAACGTTAGCGAAAACTACTTATGTTATGTATGCTGAAAGTTAAAAAATAATATATCGGCCGGTAAATCGCATCTCTAAATCACCAAATATTGATATTTATATCAGTCTTAAAAATCCTGCTGGGCTCTACAACACATGTAGCGGTACCTGTTGGGTGATGGCAAATCCGATGACAGGGTCTCCCTCCAAGATTTCCCACGTAACCACAGCAGAGTTAACCTCGAGTTCTCTGATGGTCACATTGAGCGGTGCTGACAGCAGGGTGTCTGACGCACATGCACGGCCAGAGGAAAGAAATAAAAAGAGACAGGCCATAAATATTATTTACACTTTATAACTATAAACGCTACAACTTGAACAAATCGTCCCCTCGTCATCGCTCTCTCTCTCTCTCGCTGTGCTCTCGCTCTCTCCTTCCTTAAGATCTTCTCTTCACCTCCTACAAATTAATCCTTCTCCTTTCATTAATACCGGCCCTAATTAAGCACATACATGTCTCCTGGTGTTTCCCTTGAAAAAACGCTTTTTCCATTCTCTTCACGCACACTTTCCCATCTTTAACTTTTCCTCTCTTCTTTCTCCTCCACATATCTGATTAAACCATGACTCTTGAGGAAAAACAAAAAACAAAAACACGATGCATTTGTCAATCAGAAAATTAACTTTGACGGACTAAATTACAGTCTTCCTTAACATTTGTCATTTCTTAGCTGCGAAGGTAGCAGAGAGTAAAGTGTGTATGGTTATGTGAGAGTTAAGACCAACTCATTGGTTGTATTTCCCATGAGCCTGACTTGTAAAAGGAACGTCAGAATCAGACCTTGACATCGTACACACAAGGATGATAACGCCCATGTGCACACACACATGAAACTGTCACTGAGAGGGACATTTATCTATTTTGTGAATAAATATTCTGTTAAATACACGGAAATTCCAGTTAATCAAAATCTTTGATAGATTAAATGACACCTGCAAACTATAACTGGAGTCACTGAACTGTCCACTGTGTTTCTGCTGAGTCTTTTGGAGACATTTTAGTGGATGTTTATGAGGAGTAAAAACCATTCAAGAATTTTGTGCTTGTTATTAGTCTGGTAGTTGGCACTAATTAGCATATACCCAATATTTGGCCACACCTCTTTATCTCTGAATTCAGGTGTTTTCCATCCCATGGCCATAGCTGAATAAGGTCAATGTCACAGTCTGGCTGGGGCAGACTGTATGTGTTTGCAAAAGAGGACTCAAACGCAGACCAAAAACTGAACGTGGCGTGGATTTAACAAAAAACAAGCCGTTTATTGAAGCTAGCAAAAAGGGTACAAACAAAAGGGCATTGGTGAAACGAAACAATAACCTAAACCGAGTGAACTGACATAGATACTTGAAGTTGTGACATGGATGAGCAGACGACCTGACAAAGAATGACTGAAAGCACACGGACTAAATACACACAGGAGGATAATGACAGAAGTGGAAACACATGGAGAAACAGCTGACACACATGAACATAATGACGCCACAAGGAGAGAGTAACACTAAAAATATTGAACATAGGAACACAGGACCCCTTCAAAATAAAACAGGAAATATAATGAGACGCAGACATGACAACATAAGACACACAGACATGAAACACACGAAGGGCAAGGGAGACTTCACAGGGGTTGAAAACACAAGGGGGAACTAATAAGCAAATGAACATATGAAACCTAATAAGCTTAAACATACACTATGAACGTCAAAAGAACTAAAACTCAAAACACTGGGTCATAAGACCCAGGATCGTGACAGTCAAGCACCCATTCATGCAGTCTACCTCTTTAGCACAAGTTCTTCTAAAGAGCTCGCTGTAATAGGATGATACCAACAAGTCCGTTTTTGAAATTTCTTCCAGTTCAAGATACTCAACAATAAACTGCACACAGTATTATTCCACATATATATATTTAAGAACCACAGTAACTCGACCCAACACTCTGCTGACTCTGTAATTGCAGAGCTACAAACCTCTGATATTAACATCAGCATAAAAGCTGTGCACCGGGAGCTTCATGCCATGGGTTTACAAAAAAATCCTTGTAATCGCTTTGGTTGCTTGCAGACTGAGGTGGCTGTCTGTAACTTGCATGAAGGATTTGTCTGCAAATATTCATCAACTGCTTGCTGAGTGGTAGTAAAACGTGGAAAAGATGAGGTGAAAACCAGAACTGGAGACCACTTGCTCTTAGAGTAAAACCTGTGTCTTACTGCTGCAGCCAAACACATTTCAAAAGGTGAACCGGTGAACTGAACACCAGTGTTTGTTCATATATCTTCACTTTTGGCTCTAAAAAAAACTAACACGATGGCAGCCAGAAGACTTTAAAAAACAGAGAGCAAGAGATCAATGGGTGATGCCGCCACTGCTATGTCTGTCTTTTATATACAGTCTATGGTCAGCAGCAGTGGATAGCTGTTTCTGGCCTGTGCACAGTTTGTACTTCACTATCACTTTTTGTCATTTTGTGCCATAAAAAATGAAAGTAATGGTCATAACTCCTGGCCGCTCTACCATCTGTCCTCCCGCTGAAGTCAGCCCATTGTTGCACAATTGCACAGGAAAAACATAATTTTTGATTTTATTTGCACCATTTTTTAGCTCCGACTGGACAAGCTCTTTTCAAGCTTTTTCTTCGAAAATATTGTTACCAGGTTGTTCTCTTTGTTACCAGGAGAAACGCCGTCAGTCATGTGACACTGTTGCATTAAACCGCTGCAAATATTGAGCACACAATCTTGAGACTTGTTCTTGGAGTTAAAAAGTGTTGTTACAGGAAAAACAAGAATGTACTTTATTTTCTCCCCTCCCTTTCTGCTTGCTGATAACACAATCATCACAGTACAGTGTGTTACATCATGTTGGTGAAATTCATTTTTGATAGGCGACAAACTCAGTTGAGTGGCTCCCAAAGGCTGCATGTGAATGTGTGTGTATGTGTGTGTTTGCTGATGCAGAGTAAATGTGTGATGTGTTCCCAAGTAATGTACGGGCATGATCCATCGCTATGACTCCCTGTTTGACTGGCCGTTTTCTCGCTGTTTATCTTCCTGTGCTCACACAGACACAGAAACAATGCAATGGCAGAGAGGGATTCCCGTCCATTCTTAAAGCGTTTGCTGCAGATTAACAAAAATTCCCTCTTAAAACAACATCCATTCCCAGCCTCGGGAAGCCAAAATATCAAATCTCTAGAGGCCGAGATAAATCCCACATGAGCTTATTGCCAAGATTTGGGCTTTTCACGCGACTGTCATCTATCAGCTTATCATCAGGATGCAGTGTAACCAAGATCTTACGCATGAGATGAACATATGTTGCCGCAGGTTAGAAACATGCGATATCGTACAAGATAGATGAGATACTCCCCCAGCCCCCAACCCCACACACGCATGAACATATAGGAGGATTGGACCTGCTGTATGTAGAGGCTTTACATGGAAGTAACTCAATCACATTTCACATCCCTTCAGGACCCTGGATGGATGAAGCTGCACATTTTTAAAGCAGCTACTAGAGATTATCTCCCCAAACAATGAAGAATTTTCAGAAAATGGTGAAAAAATGCCAACTGAAATATTCCAGGAGCCAAAATGATGCTCACTAATATCTTGTTTTGTCTGACACAAGAGAAAGTGGCAAATGGTCACATTTGAGAAAATGACCACTGATTGGTCAGTTAGTCAACTAAAATGTAAAGCTCTAATGCTTGTTTAGTCTTTACTTGAATTTAACAGTCAACTGAGAACTTACTGAGCCAATCACACGGTGCCACAAAGACTGGGGTTTTTTTAATGACACTTTTCTAGAAACATTTATACAAACTGGGATTAAACTGTTACTCTGATGCAGTGTGAGACCAACTTGTGTCAGCCATTTTTTTGGCATCACTAAAGCTCACTGTGTCCACCTATAGCTGATGCACGCACATGCAGTGTGTCACGTCAGGTGGCTTCCCCAAAAGGGATGAAATGCACACCAAATGCATTAAAAATCAGTCAGCTGCTGCCAACTAATACTAAAATAAAATCACAACGACATGTGTTTAATCGGCCCGGTGCATCAACTCACATTTACTCGCAACGATCGCTCATCAACCTGTGGTAAAACTCACCGGCATTAACGGAGGACGCTGAGAGGAAGCCCAGCAGGAGCGGCAGCACCGCCGCAGACAAGCCTGGTTTAGCCATCCTCCTGCTTCTTCTGGTGAGGCTTCACATCCTGTGCGGCCCATTTATAGCATGGCGTTTAACGGGAGGAGGCGAGCATCCCCCGGTTAGGGAGAGAGGAGGTACTTGTTGTACCGGAGACCGGGCTCACCTGAACTTGGACTCTGCAGCAGCAGAAGCGCAACAACGGCCAGAGGAGGAGGAGGAGGGTTAAGGGGAGGGTGGGGAAAGGGAGGGGGTGGTGGTGCACGATGCCGTTCTCAGTTGTCTCGGTGGACACCTCACAACGACGGCCCTTCGACCACCGGCAGACTTCCAGGCTGGCTGTGATGGAAAGTCGGCGCAGAGAGGATTTCAGTACCCGGAGAGGTGGAAGAAGTGCGCAAGTGCTGCAGAGTGCAACGTGCAGCCACGGCTTATGACTCTCTCTCTCTCTCTCTCTCTCTCTCTCTCTCTCTCTCTCCCTCACAAACACACGCACACACTTGCATCACTCCTCGCTTATAAGTTACTTGCCAAAAACAAACCAATCTTCCAAAGAGAAATCATCATTTTAGACAAAAAGTAACATATCCGTGCCTGTTGTCAGCTATTTTTAATGAAGCAGTCTGAAACGCTTTAACCAATCAATCATTTATAAAGCACAGGCGTTCACTGTTCTATCTGTGCACGTGTGTTATTGCAATATCAATACATCTGGATCTGAGAGGACGCTGGAAAGGCCACACAGAGACTCCCCGAGTGGATCTGAACCCTGGACCTTCTTGCTGTGAGGCAACAGTGCTATCCACCATGTCACCTTGCTGCCTTAACACCACTTTAAGTTAGGTTTTTAACACATAATGCATATTATGCCTTACATTATGCTTTCCCAAGTCAACTAAGTAGTTTTTCATGCCTGACCCTAACCGAAGAGTAGCTTGGTTAGAATATATGGACAGTTACAATATCTAAATAAAAAAAAATGCATTTGTGATGTGATGATGTCACTGTTGCTGTTTAGTATTGTTAGTTTGGCCCGCCCCCCATCATCTTTTGTGCACCAACAGCCTTACCCAATTCTGGTGCCAGTGATCTTCCAATAGTAAAAATTTAACACACTGCACTAAAAACTTTCACTTTCCTGTGGATGTAAGAGAAACACTGATGTCTATGATAGTGCAATAAATGCATTTAAATGCCATAGCTTCAGCTTCTCTTAGACCTTGCAACACAACCATTAATTTAGGATCCTCTTTACATCATTTACAAATGATGCAACACAAAGGTAAAACATTTCTAAAGACATTTAGTGATTCCTAACATTACATAAGCTGGAATGGGATTCCAGAAGCTAAAGGAAGGAAAAGGTGATCCCATGCACCGTTTAATAAAACATGAACTGTATATGTGTAGAAATTAATAATAGGAATGAATCTATAAACAGGAAATCAATTGTGAGTGCGATTTGTCAGTAAAAGGGCTCTTATGTGCAATCGAAGGACCTATTGATCCCATACCCACTCAATCAAATGAAAGGGCTCTGCCAGGCACATAAAATCTTACTAATTGTGGATCCTATATGGTCTCTTAAAGAGAGGAACATGCAGTAGTAGGTCAATAAAGGGGACACAAGGGTCCTGCAAAGCTTGTGCACCTTATTAAGAATAAAATAGGGCCAGTGTTTCTCCTGGAGTGTGGCAAAATGCTGTCCGTTGTGCTCATGTATAGGTACTCAGGGACACAGATTACACAGATCAATACATGATTAACATTCTCAACAGACACCCCTTTAACGTCTCTTTTGCTTCAGGGAGAAGATGCCGATGTGCCGCCCTGCTCCTCTCCTTTCTTCTCTTTGCTCTTCAGTGTCTTTCAAGGTTATAAGAACAATTTAAGACGACAACATTCATATCTCTTTGCTGTGCCGCTGACAGTTTTATCACTCAACTTAGGTTCAGACGAGCACAGTCTCCTCCAGTGACCTCTGGTTTCAGCTTGCAAAATAAAAAAAGAAGAGACGAAAAAAACCCACCCTTGAATTTTCACCTTATTGGTGGTCACGCCAGTTGTTTTCATGAAGCATGATGCTGACAGATTTATTTTTGGAGAACTTCTTTTTAGAGGTTAATGTGTTTGGAGAAATGATAAGAAGTCATATGCAGATTTAATGTCAGGTTTAAAATAAGAGGAATACTTCATCATTTACCAGAGATCACAGGGAGATGGTAAAGATCAACACTGCAGTCATAGTATTACATTTACTGTCAGTACACAGTTATTATGACCCCCTGTGTAGAGTCGTTGAGCTGAACATGAACAATACAAACGCCTTTGCAAACTGGAATAAACTTGTAATCTCAGCAGTCTCTGCATGCAGTTATCAAAGAATATGGCTTCACATGTAGTTGTCAATAAACCAAGGATATTGCCTAATTAGTAGGCACATCTTATCAACTGTTTGTCCTTTGTAGGATCTGGTACTTGATTGGAGCTTATCTTTTTTTTAAAACAAAGACGTCGCCCCCTACTGTTCATTAGAAAGAATGCAGATTTAAGGCGCTTCTGCAGCTGCCAGCAATTTATATAAAACTGCTGGCTTCACTTTACAGACACAGGCAGCAGGAACAAAGCTTTAATATGATCGATTTGTTGGACAACATGAGAAAAACAGTTGTCCAGTGGGTGTTAAAGAGTGTTTTGATGATCTTAGATAACTGTGTGGATATACAAGCAATTTAGCTTAGCGAGAATTAGCTTTATCTCCCTACTTAGCTTGCTAGATAAGCTATAAACAGTGTTGGGAAGGTTACTTTTAAAATGTA